CACTTTTGCTAGCATTCACATAATCACATTTAATAGACAACCAAAGCAAATTGCAAGTTGGAACCTTCTCTATGCCAATCAACTAGAGCATCCCAATTCTTTTCCTCTGTTTAATATCGCACTGCAGGTCTCAAGAATTCTTTTTCTTTTCTCCTAAAAGCACTATCCAAGATAGTATCTGCTAACATTCCCAGACCTCCCACACGTCACCAAGGAGGGTCGTAGTCCTTGCTGTGGAAAAGTCTCTGATGAGGTGGGAACCTTACTTAGATTCCATTTTTAGGAGTGTGCCAGCACAAAACAAAATAGGATTCCCCTCAGGGGTTAGTTGGCATAAACAGAACAGGTTACACTTTTAGGAACAAGCTGACCCAAAAACAGAGAAATAAGCAGAACAGTAATAAAATCTCTTACTGACCTATTAAAAAACAAATGGGAGTCCAAAAGCTTGATAAAAGTGCAGAGCCCATGGGCAACCTTCTTTAGTTTCATCCTAAATCAAGATTTAAACAGAATCACCATTGCTATTGATGTGGTTCAGAAGGGGAGAAGGGAAGCTTATAGCTTTCCCTTGCTTAGACAACTTTCCACAGTATACTAATATTGTCAGGGAAAAACCTCATGACTGACAATATGGTGTAAGATGAAGGTAAGGAAGAAGCTATATTGTTGTTACAAGCCATGTCATGAAGAGACCAGTAGACTTAAAACTTCTCCTCTGTTGGCCAAATGGGCTTTCCTTACAAGTAATTTCCAGCTAGTATATATATATATATATATAGTTAAGAGTGAAAAAGTAAAAGCTGGATCACAAACTGTTAGTAAGTATGAAGTAACAATGTTTCCTACAGGGAGAGATAAAGTTAGAGTACTAAGTTGCTAAATATAGCTTCTCACTGTGAGAAGCCTACTGGTAAATGATAATATCTGTCAGTGGGAGTAGGCCCCAGCAGTGAGACTATTTTCTGCTAGTCACAATCCATTTAGTACCCAGGAAGACCCAGTATAGAAAATGCTTGCTTACTCAAACTTTGCTCCCTGTGTTCCATTTTCTCTATGGACACAGGGACCCTTCCTTCTATTCTGATCTCTGCAGAAGGGAAGCCAGAATCCTTGCTCTACCTAGACCCTCAGGCCAACTTTCATATTCTCTGTGGTGGTGGACCAGGTCTCTTCAGGCCCCCTCTTCTGCAGAGAAGATGTGGCTGTTGTCACTGCTTGGATGAGCAGGGTATTGCCAACTGTGACTTCTGATAAGATGGAGGATCTCCAGATTACTGTCTATCCTCTGGAGTCTTGGGCACTGCAAATCTTACCTGTCAGTGTACCCTAAACACCTTTAGGCCTTGCCACCGCCCAAATTTCTATGCCCTTATCTGCCCACATACTTGAACCTTTCTATATGTAATAATATTAATAATAATGATGATGATGATAACACACACATATGCACGTGTGTATGTGTATATCTCTCTTACTATGTGCCAGGCATTGTGCTAATCATTAGCAATTTACAGTTATCTCACTTGATCCTCACACAGGAGGTAGGGGCTATTATTATCTCCATTTTACAGATGAGGAAGTCGAAACAGATATTAAGTGTCTTACCAGGGTCACACAGCTAGAAGCGTCAGGCTGAATTTGAACTCAGGTTTTCATGACTTAGACTTAGTGTTCTATCTACTATGCCACCTTGCTGCTCCAATTAATGTATTTCCTCCAGTTGAAGAATTGTTCTCCTTGAGAACAAGGGACTGTCTCCTTTTTATAGTTTTCTCCAGCAGGTAGCATACTTCTTAGCAAGTAGTAAGAACTTAAGAAGTACTTTTTCTTTCATTCATTTATTCATTAATTTTAAGAGCCTTAGCAAGGGACTGAAGTCTAAACACATAGAAGCAAAAATACTTGCTTAATTCATACACTGAAATATAGGCTAGTTTAAAAATGAAGTCATTCAAGTCAAGAAAGTTTGAAGAATACAGGACCCTCTTTTTATTTTTTTTCCCTTTGCCTTCTCATGAATAATTCAGAGAAATAGGGAAAGACTTGTATGGATGGAGACAGCATGAAGTAAACAAAGTGCAGAAGAAATGGGCCTCCTTTTCCTTAGAGAAGGGGAGATGGAGAATAGAGGAGTGGAATGTTGAATGTGTTCTTCTGTGCAGTCAAGGCAATCAACGTGTCATTTGGAAATTACTGTGTTTTAAAAACAAAAGGCATCAGGGCAGATAGGTGGTGCAGTGGATGGAGCACTGGCTCTGGAGTTAGGAGGACCTGAGTTCAAATGTGGCCTCAGACACTTAATAGCTCTGTGACCGTGGGCAAGTCACTTAACCTCGATTGATTGCCTCCTAAAAGTGAATAAATAAAAACAAAAAGCATCAGTAAAAATTTTTAAAAAGAGAAATGAATTTAAAGAGAAAAGAAGTAAACATATAGTCTGACCAGCACAGAATGCATATAGCAGGAGTAATATGTAGATTATATTTTTTGCCCATCTTAATATCTCTAGTACATAGCAGAGTGCCTGGCACAGATTAAGTGCTTAATAAATGCCTGTTGACTGGGTATCTACCTGTTGTATGCCTTTTTCGATATTGATAATCAGAGCATCATTGAATAAAATTTATCTCTTTGGTAGCATTTGTTGTCTAAATATATGCACGGGAGAGTCTTTGGAGGAGAAACTTGAAGATTTTGTTTTGCTCTGATAAGTCACATACTGTTGTTGTTGTTGTTGTTGTTGTAGTAACCCCAAAACAGTAAACAGCAGAATCTTTCATTCTTGCAAATTTTCAGTCACTTGTGTGACTGTAATTATGTGTTCTGATACAGAAAATCATTAATGAAAGCCTACCTGTTTACTTCCTAAATATTTATCAGGAATACACTTACGTACCTGTGTAAATAATTTTAATGAAGATTTTATGGAAATTAGAAAGTAAGGTTACTAAGTGCTGATGACTTAATTGCCTTTTTTTTGGGTAAGAATTTTTAAAGAAAGGCTTTGGTATTTCTCCCCATTTAATACCTTAGTGTTCCCAGAAGTGATTCGTTTGCAGATGTTATTTCTTTTATTTTTGATTTGGTGCAAAATTTTTCCAGCTTTATCTTAAATGCCATTGGCAGTTCATAATAGCATATTGAAGACTGTGCTGATTTGAAATAGGGTGGTTCCACTGTCACTAATGATGAAAATAGTTGTTTATAAAAGATGAACACATTTTTTGTTTTTCGTCTGTTTGTTGTCCTCAGTTCAATTGCAGCAGCTATAAATACTGTCAGGGTGATTTGACTTAGTTGGGTCTCATGCCAAGTTTCCTATAGAATTTTTTTCTGCTTCCCTGATCTTCACTGTTTTGTGAGATGGTACTGTTTATGATCTGTTACCACCTTCCTCTGTAAAATTTTGCAAAGGAAATTATATTTTAAGTCAGTTTTGACCTTGGTAACATATCACCAATGTCAGTGATATCTGAGTTTTCTAAACTTTTTTTGCATGAGAATTTGGATATATGTCTTATTTAAATATTTTAGAGATTCTTGGAAATTTTTTTTGTAGTGTAATTTCAGTATTTAATATAGAAAGCCAACTTCAAAGTCAAGAAAATCTGGGTTGAAGGCCTCTGACCTATTGGCTCTGTGGCTCTACGTGTGCTAATTTAGGTCTTGCTCTAGGCCATAGGTCTACTAAAGGCAAATCTCTGAGATTATAAATCATGCTGCATTGGTAGAAGGGTTTTCCACACTTGAGAGTTCCCCATACAAAATAAATCATCAATTCAGTCCTTATACCTCTTTCTAATTATATACTGGCCTGTATATTGTTCATTAATTTCAACTAGGTTGTAAGCTCCTTGGGGTCATGGACCATATGTTATACTTTTTCCCGTTTAATAGTACGGTGCTATTACATCAATAAATACTTGGTGACAGTTCAAAAGTTATCTCCTGCTCCACAAAGTTGTAGAGGAATTTGGTGATTTGTCTTCTGAGCACAAATTGCAAAGAATATACTTTCTGAGTGACTAACATTGACCAATTTTTTTTTTTGGCACTGTTTCAATTTATGGCTCATCTGGAAGTCTTTTGTACTCCTACCCATACATGATATATCTTTAAAACAACAAAATAACAACAAACCATAAGGCTGAAGTAGAAGTATATCTACTACAAACACATTTATTTGAGATTGGATGTATCTGTTTTCCTCATTAGCATCCTCTTTTCAGGTCTAGGAAAGGAAAATATAGGAGCAGTGCTCAGGAAATAAAAGAGGCTATCTTACCCATTTTGTAAATTATGCTTTATTTGGTAAATGATTGTTCAAGTTGGTACTACAGCATTTATTTTCAAGTTTGATCCCTTCAATCCCTCAGGAATTCCTCTACTAATCGAACTTAGAGAAATTACCTTAAAACAAGAATTATTCTGTTTTTTAATCAGTTTTGTTTTCCCTCAAAATTTGTGCCATAATTTTTGTAAAGTCAATTATGTCATAATTGAAGAGAAAACCCAAGGTGGAAAAAAAGGAGTTCAGTGGAGGTGATTATTTGACAATAAAAATGTTTGTTGATAATTTTCTTTCAATAGTAGTTCACAAAAATAGAGAAAAATCATTAAACAAAGTTGACTGTTTTCTACATTTAAAAAAAATATAGCTGACTGTATACATTTTTGTCTCTTTTAGTTTCATTCAGTAAAGTTGGCTTCACATACCATTGTGAAACACAAAATTGGTAGTGGTAGAAAGGTACTTATTGGGATTTGTGTATACTTAAATATTAGGATATTTTTCACATTCCTTATTTTAATCTTAGTTTTAATATACTTTAAATTTTTCTTCATCAAGCTGTATTATACATTTCCATGTATTAGTCATATAGTTTAGGAATATTAATGAAATGATTAAAATCTTTATGTTTGGGGTTTTTATTTTTTTATTTCCTTGTTTTTACTAAGATTAGTCTTCAAACAACTTTTTTCTATTTGTTTTTCAGTCGCGCAGCGTGGATAAGCAGCATGCTGTAGTCAACTATGATGCCTCTGCAGATGAACACTTAGTAAAGGATTTGGGTAGTCTAAATGGGGTAAGTTAACAGTTGATCACATGTGTTATTTTGTTATTTTATTTGTTCTTTACTATTTTTAAAAGGGCCCCAAATATCTCTTTTCTTCAAAAATCTGGTATTCTTTAACATGTTATTCTCTCTCTCTCTCTCTCTCTCTCTCTCTCTCTCTCTCTCTCTCTCTCTCTCTCTTCTTTTTTTTTTTTGCTTTTAGGCAGTTGGGGTTAAGTGACTTGCCTGAGGTCACACAGCTAGTAAGTGTCAAGTGTTTGGTCTGAGGCCGGATTTGAACTCACGTTCTTCTGACTTCAGGGCCAGTGCTCTATCCAGTGCGCCACTTAGCTGCCTCTTGTTTTTTTTTGGGGGGGGTGGTTTTTTTTTTTGCTGGGCAGTTGGGGTTAAGTGACTTGCCCAGGGTCACACAGCTAATACGTGGTGTGTGTTGTGTGTCTGAGACTGGATTTGAATTCAGGTCCTCCTGACTTCAAGGCTGGAGCTCTATCCACTGCACCACCTAGCTGCCCCACATGTTATTCTCTTATACTAATACTGATGACTATTTTTATCAGTGTCCTTACTAAAATGTGGTGCCCAGAACTGAGCACAACACTGTAAATGCAGAATAACCAGAATATACTAGTAACAGGGCTTAGATACGGTGCATCCCTTCATGTAGCCTTAGATAGCATTAGCTTTCTGTTAACTCATTAGCTGGTAGTCCGTGAACCTCTGGATAGATCCTTTTCAGATGACTTGTTCTCTGAGTATACCTTCCCATCTTAGATTTGTAGGCCTTTTGGAATATTTACTCAGTTACGTAGTGTATTATGTATCTGCAACAGCTTTGTCAGTCAAGCATTTATTAAGCATTTAACTATGTGCCAGGAACTATTCTAAGTGCTAGAGATACAAAGAAGTGTAAAATCATGGTTCTTGACATCAAGGAGTTCATATTCTAATGGAGGGTATTGTGTTGCATTGAATTTCAACACTTGAAATATTTAAACTTTTAATACCATGTTACTTTGGAATGGAATTACTACAGTAAACTAGATTATTTTGTTAGAATGTTAAAATACTAGAAATAGATTACTATAAAGGATATCATGTAGAGTGAGACATACAGTTAAATGGATGGCCGTTTGAGTTAGTGCATGAGTGTGGTATCTCCACCAATTGCAGGTGGACAATGAGCCCAGAACTGAACATGAGGAGAGCAGGCTGGATTTTGTATGGGAACTTATGCAGTGTTTTCATTGATCCCCTCCTTTCCTGAAACAAAAATCCCTATTTTTTTTTTAGGTTTCAGTGAAAACTTTTATTGACAACAACGAACAAAAAAACAACCTTAACAGTAACTAGTAATTTTTACCATATTCTTAGAATATTGTAATAAAAATAAAAATATTGCCAATTCCTAATGCAGCAGTAGTTTTCCAAACATTTCTATGAAGCAATACTTTAAGAAAATTGTCAGAACTTATCCAGTTATCCAACATAGCAAACTTTTTTCCTCCTGTTCCCTTTTGGTCAGTCTGGACAATAAGAAAAATTATATAAAAGATTCAGAAAGTTGGTGACTGGATGTTCAGTGCTGTCCTTTACTTTCTCAGCATCTTCATCTGTTTCTATATTGCTTGTCGGTACTTTTTCCCCCATCACTCTTTTCATCATCTCTTTTAAGGGGACTGATTCTGAAGTTGTAACACTGCTGCTTTCTTGAATGGTCTTTGGTTCTCAGAGTCAAGAGGTTTATGCTTAACTTCGCATCTTGTTCCATCATCTTCTGGAGAATCAGGTCTTTCTAGCAGCAGAGTTAATTCACTCACTACATTGAGCTTATGGTCAGTGAAAAACCAATATTTTTAAAATCAGTATGTTATATGGCTATAAAGCATGGATCACAGTCAATCAGTCCAGCATTTGGTAAGCATCACCTATGTGCTAGGCACTGTAGATGTGCATACTTACCAGGAGCTCTAATGAATGTGGGGAGAGGGTAGGAGAACAACAAAGTTATACATCTTATACAGTGTGTGTATACATATACATACATGTGTATAAATGCATGTATTCATATTCACATACATGCATGCATAAATATGAGCTGAGTGGCTCAGTGGATATAGTGCTATGCCTGCAGCCAGGAAGACTCATCTTCCTGAGTTCAAATCTGGCCTCAGACATTTAGTAACTGTGTGACCCTGGGAAAGTCACTCACCCCGTTTGCCTCATTTTCCTCATCTATAAAATGAGCTGGAGATGCTTCAGTCTCTTTGCTAAGAAAACCCCAAATGGAGTCACAAAGAGTTGTACACAACTGAACAGCAACAAACAAAATACATACACGTTTCTGTGTGTATACACACATACACGTGCATACACACATATATAATAAATACAAAATAGTTAAATACAAGATTGTTTGGGCAAGGAGGGTGCTAGCAGAGTGGGAAAGACTTCATGGAAAAGAACTTTGTCTTAAAGGAAGAAAGAGACTGAGACACAGGTATAAGGAAGAAGGCATTTGTGCCACCTCCTACATAAACCTTTCCCTGATCCTCCTAGTTGCTAGTTCTCTTCCCTCTTCACACCACCTCCCTTCCCTTTACCTTGCATGTAACTTATATTTATTTAACACCATTAATATAAAGTAGTTAAATGCATAGTAATTTGGAGAAAAGAGGCAATAATAGTTGGGGGGTTCAGGAAAGGCTGTATGCAGAAGATGCTTGAGCTGTCTTATAGAAAGAGAGGGTCTCCATTAATTAGAGGGTAAAGGCATAAGTATATTCCTGGTATGGAACCCCCTGCAAAGAGATAAAGAAGTGTCATGTGTGAGGAAGAGAAAACAGGCCAATTTGACTGGATCATAAAATGCAAGAAAGGAGAGAGTAATATCTGATCACGTTAGAAAGACAAGTTGAGGCCAGTTTGTGTATGTTAGATCTTTATAGGTCAACAGAAAAGTTTATATTTGATCAGAGAGACAACATAAGTCCGCTGGATTTGATTTAGTAGGGGATTCACATGGTGAATTTGGGGGAAATTACTTTGGTAGCAATATGTAGAACTAGAGTAAGGAGAGACTAGAGTTTGACTCAGGAAACCCAAATAGGATGGTGTTGTAGTAATCTAAGTGAAGTCTGGAAAGCAATTTGGAACTACGCCAGAAAGTTTTTAAACTCTGCATAACTTTTGACCACTTATAACCACTACAAGCCCTATGCCCTAAAGAATTCAGAGAAAGAGAAAAAGGATTTATATATACAAAATTATTTGTAGCAACTTTTTTATAGGAAACAAAAACTGGAAACTAAGGGGGGGAGAGAATGACTAAACAGATTATGGTATATGAAAGTAATAGAATATTATTATCTCATAAGAAATGATGAAATAAACAGTTTGAGAAGAAACTGAAAACATCTTGGTGAACTAATGCAAAGTGAAGTGAGCAGAACTACAGAACTAGAACAGTTTGTACAATGACAACAACCGAAAGAAAAACAACTTTGAAAGACTTTAAGAGAACTGAAAATTTTACATATACACATATCTATATCTATATCTATATTTATATCTGTATCCGTATCTGTATCTGTATCTGTATCTGTATCTATATCTGTATCTATATCTATGTATCACCCACCTCTTGCTCTAGCGGTGAATGACTTAAAATGCAGAAGAATACATATGTTTTTGGATGTGACTTATGTGGAAATTTGTTTTGCTGGATTGTACACTTTTTAATGCATTTTCTTTTTCTATTTTTTTCTTCTCTAATTGTTCAATGGAGGGAACAGTGGTTAGATTATCTAGGTGACGGTTGATGAAGGTTTGAAGTAAGATGATAGCTATGTGATCAAGGTACTCTAGTGAAAGTAGACACATTAAATTTCTTGCAACTGATTGTGTGGTGGGGTGAGGAAGAGTGTGGAATCTCAGGTAGTGCAAGGTAGAAACCAGGGAAAATAGAAGTACAGTGGTGCCTTTTACAAAAATAGGAATGTTTGAAAAAGTGGAGGATTTGAGGGGGCAATATAATAGGTTTATTTGGGGACATCTTGAATTTTTAATGCCTCTGGGATATCCAATTTGAGATAGAAATTTAGGACTTATTTGAATAACGATGACAGTTAAATCCATAGTAGCTTAGGAGATTACCAAGAGAAAAATTATAGAAGTCAGACATTTAACAAATATTTAGTATATGTTTAACAACATGCCAGGGAATGCACCAAAGAAAAACGAGTAAATGTAACAAAATTTTAATGATCAAGCAATATGTATGAGAAGACACCCCCAACCTACCCTTTGGGGGAGGTGGGAGACCCACAGGTTTATGTGTTGTACATGTTTTCGGACTTTCTTAATGTATGGATCAGTTATGCTAATTTTTTTTCCTCTCTAAGAAACATATGTCATTGTCATATGAAGTAGCAGGGAGAGGGAGGGATTCATGCAATACTGTGATGATGTAAGAAGCAGAAAACATCAATAAAAATATTTTTTAAAACTGCCAGGAACTGATACAAAAGAAAGCAAAAACATTGTTCCTGCAGTGAAGAAGCTCATATTCTAATGGGAAAGAGGAAAGACAAAAGTCAAAAATATGTATATGTAAGATATATACAGAGTAGGTAGAATTTAATCTAGTGAAGGCACTTAGCAGCAAGATGCGAGGGAGACTCAGGCCTCTTATTGAAGGTGGAATATATAGTACTTTGTTATGTAAATATAGGCTAATGATCAGTATTATTTCTATTTGGGGGTGAGCACAGTCATTAGTCTGTCTTAGAATATAAATTCTTATAATGTCCTGCATATTTTACCCTACTGAATACATTTCAGGCACCCCCAGTATGTACTACATTTTTCCTCTTCATAACTTATTTGAGGCTTCTAAAAGGTATACAGTAGATAAGAGTGTTAGACTTGGAATCAGAAAGACCTGAGTTTAAATTTTGACTGAGAAACTTATTAGTTGTGTTCCTGGGCAAGTCACTTAAACTCTTGCATTGACAGTTTCATCATCTATAAAATGGGGGTAATAATCATACCAACATAATAGAGTTATTGTGAGGATCAAATGAGATAATATGTATACAGTGCTTTGCAAATTTTAAAGCACTATATAAATGCTAGCCACTGTTGTTGTTAATTTGCAACTTCTGGAAATGTTTCCAGGTCCTTTTACTAATGAATCATTCTGCTTCTTTGGTCATTCCTAATATGGTAATGTCGTTATGAAGCTTTAGCAGTACCCTCCCCAATAATGGGGAAGACTTTTTTGTAATGTGGAATTCTCAACTAGAAGACTGTTATAATATGACTAGTGTATGTATTTTCTCCTGTTCATATTATCAGCTTTTCAGCATCCAGTATTAACTTTGTACTAGTTTTGCATCAGCTTTACTAAAAATGAAGTAATTACTCTGAATAAAACTTAATATCCATTCTCTCTCATTTTGTTCCCTTCTAGACTTTTGTGAATGATGTAAGGATTCCAGAACAGACTTATATCACCTTGAAACTTGAGGATAAACTAAGATTTGGATATGATATCCTTACAAAACATGATTTGTAAAGTTTTTACAAACTTTTCTTTCTAAGCTTCATTGTATTCATTCATTTATTAATTATTAAATTTATTTAAATTTTATGGTTGTAATTGAATATTTATTGACTTTAAGTATATTCACAATGTGTATTAGAAAAACAGTATTTGCCTAGTATTCTCCTTCTCACAGTAGAATGGATGATTAAAAAACCTTTTGTCACCTTTTGGTTTAATAAAAATGACCCAGGCAGAAGCAGTGAAATTAACTTTTGATGTTCACTATTTTTATGCTTTCTTATAGAATATTCTTTTGTAATCCTACTGCATATGAGTATATGGGGATTCTTCACCTTCAACAGCCCTGGAAATACTGACAGTGAATGATGTCTCAATGCCAGCCATCAGCTTCCTGGTAGAGACTTGTGTCTAAGCACCACATATTTATCCTTACCTATGATCTGACTTAGTTTAACTGCATTTTCCTCAAGCTCCGCAACACCCCTATGTCTCTGAGGTGGGGGGAAAAACAAAGCCCAATAGAGTCTGTATCTTAAGATTTTGTTCAGAGTGGAATCTAAGAACTGAATAGGATAAGTACCGCATTCTGCTATAAAATATAGAATAAGGATTTGGTAAGGGAAAGAATAAAAACATGAGAGGTTGAAGAAGAATGAAAATACCTTTTTTCCATACGTGGCAAATAAGCTGTGGAAAAAATTTAATTCTCTTTCCACTTTGAGTGTAGCTATTCCACATTATACTTAATAACATTCTACTTCAAGATATTTAAATTCCTGAATTATTTCTTTCTTCTTACTGTAAGTATTGAAGTAATGTATTGTTATACAATTGAACTTAAATGTGTTGAACAATGCTAGTTTGGTAGAATATTAAGATCCTATAAAATAATTCACTTAAGTGAGATATTTAATGCTCAGAATAAGTGAAAAATAACTGAAAATAAACATTTTCCAAAAGATGGAATACTTTTAGAATGGTTTGTGAATTTAAATTAGTTTTCCTATGAAATTGATATTTGAATTTACGGTAAACAGTTACAAATTTATATTACATCCTTAATAAAACCTTTTATATTGTGAATTCAAAGGAATGTAGGAAACGAGATGGAACTATTAAGTCTGAAATTTCAAGCTACATGTTTTAGAATATTAAAAACAAAAACTTCATATTAATTCACATGATTCAGAATAAGCTGTAATCCTTGACTAAATAATTTTCTGCTGGTAGAGTTCTCACCCGGAAAGGAACTGTGAATGCCTTTTCAATTTGTTGAAGTTATGTGCAATTTTCTTAACCTCTGATGTTTAAAGTATATTAGATAATTTAAAATGATCTTTTAAATTAAAAATCAGTACATGTAAAATGTATCATGTTTTAAAAATGAGAAAATAAGAAGCAATCCACATTTCCATTGAAATTTGTAAAACTTCCTTTTCAAATGTTCAACATATCTTCTCCCTTTTTCTGATATTATTTCCATTTGTCATTTTCCATTAAATGTCAGGCAACTATTATCACCATTTTGTAGACAGATAAATACAAAGGATCTTTTCAAGGTTATGTCATCAATGGCAAAAGCAGTATTATAATTTAAATGTTCTGACTTAGAGGTTGAGCAGTCCTTTTTCTGTGACATTATGCATATAAGTTAAATAAGGTAACAATATATACAACCTTGTCATCCTCCTTTTCCAGTCTTAAGCCAATCAGTTGGTCCACGTTTAGTTCTAACTGTTGCTTCTTGGCCCCTGTACAGGTTCCTCAGGAGGCAGGTAAGATGGTCTGGTACTCCTTTTCTTTGAAGACTTGCCATATTTTGCTGTGATCCACATGGTCAAAGGCTTTAGTGTAGTCAGTGAAGCAGAAGTAGAGGTTTTCCTGGAGCTCCCTTGTTTTCTCCATAATCCAGCTAATGTTGACAATTTGGTCTCTAGTTCCTCTGTCTCTTCGAAAATCAGCCTGCTCTTCTGGTAATTCTCAGTTCACATTTTGCTGAAGCCTAGGTTGCAGAATCTTCAGTATAATTTTGCTGGTGTGTGAAATTACCACAATTATTCAGTAATCTGAACTTTCCTTGGCATTGGCCTTCATTAGTGTTGGGATGTAAACTGATCTCTTCCAATCCATTGGCCACTGTTGTTTTAAATTTGCTGGCATATTGAGTGCATCTCTTTAACAACATCATCTTTTAGGACTTTAAATAGCTCAGCTAGAATTCTTCTTTTTCAATAGCCTTATTTGTTAGCAGTGCTTCCTAAGGCGCATTTAACTTCATTCTCCAGGATATCTGGCTTTAGATCAGTAACCACACCTTCATGGTTATTTGTGATGTTAAGATCCTTCTTGTATAGATGAGTGCTTCTGTGTATTCTTGCCACCTCTTCTTAATCTCTTTTACTTCTGTTAAGTCCCAACAATTTTTGTCTTTTGTCATGCCTGTTTTTGTATGAAATGTTCCCTTGATATCTCTAATTTTCTTGAAGAGATCTCTTGTCTTCCATTCTATTGGGTTTTTTTTTTGCACTGTTCATTAAAAAAAAAAAAACCCTTATCTCTCCTTGCTATTTTCTAGAATATAGTATCTACCAAAGAGTAGGGGGCGAGTAAATGATAGTTGAATGATCAGTTGCTTTTAGTTCTGTCTTTTGGGGCCAAACAACAAGACTAACCTCTGTTTTATATATCTTTCTACAAAATACTTGCACATGCTTATTATGCACTTATTATGCACGCACACACTTTAGATTTCTTTTCACCATGCTAAAACTTCCTACTCCAAAGACAGATTCTTGAGGCCTTTCACCATCTTGTCTGCACACTCCAGCTTGTGTGTCCTTAAAATGTCATGCCCATAACTAAACATAATTCTCTAGACAGTTTGACTAAGGCAAAGTACAATAGGTCTGTCACCACCCTAGTTTTAATACAGCACTTCTCTTAAATGTAACTTATGGTAGAATTAGTTTTCTTAGCTGCCATAGCATGTTGTTGATGCATTGGCTTATACATTTCTCTAAAACTTCCATTATATTAATTCATACAAGGAGAACAGAGGCAGAGGCAGCAAAGAAGATAAAACAAGGTTAGTGTGCCAACACCTTCACATGAGGTTACTATAGCATGACCAGTTGTTAAGAAGTCTTTGTGATCACTATTCTTCCCTTTGATAATATGTTCTTGACTTTTCCAAGAATTGAAGTCAAGTTTACTCTACCATAACGTTGGCAGAATAAATTTTCTTCCCTTTTTTTTTTTGAAAAGACATTTTTCTTTCTCTAATCCTGTAGCACTTCTCCTATGCCTTTTATTTTCCCTCAGTGGTTCTGTAAGTATATCCAGAGCTGCTTTCATAGGTGTGATACAGTTCTTCTGAACTTGTTGACTTGAACTTATCAAGGGCAACTGGATGCTTTCTTGTTATTTTATTTTGTGTTTCATTTTAGCCATTTTTGTTTTGTTATTCTTTTCCCTGGAAGAAAACAATAGCAAAATAAGAGTTGAACAGCTTTATCTTCTTTGTGTTATTTTATTATCATTGTCTCATCTACCTGAGCAACAGTCCTATTGTTTCCCTAGTATAACGTTAATTAAATTTTTTTTGTCATCCTCTCTTTTTTGCACATTCTTACTGGCACAAGACCATGTCTTAATTATGTATTTTGTCTTATTGCTTGCTCTCACATCTTTTATACATACCTTTTTAAAAAACATTAGCTGATGAGTCCCTTGCATATCCACATAGGTTTCTTTTCTCCTCATCCAATTTGTTTTTCTTTGTGTTTTCAAATTTTCTTTCTTTTCAGTTTTCCATCCCTCCTGGTCTAACCTTCTGTATAGAATTTTTAGTTCATGGGATTCTAGCTTTCCTTTCTGAGAATGCTTTTTTTCTCTGAAAATCTAATATTCAAGTCAGAGTATGCCTGGCTTTTCTCATGCATCACAAATTTTATAATGGATTGCTCACTTACTACGGTAGTCAATCATTTCTATTCTAGCAGTAAATCCCCTCTCGTTGGCAAGACGAGTCCTAGGGCAATAATCTCTTTGTTGATTCCTGGACCTTTTGCAGCAAAAAAATTACCATTAGGCCATCCAAGAAATTGTTAGCTGTCCTGCTTTAGAGAGAGAGATCTAGCAGAAGGACAGATAATTAGAATCTATCACAACTATATGGTACTTCGATGCCTGGCTTGTGATCTGTTTTCTGAAATACCTTATCTATTTCCCCTTTCGGTCTTGACTGTATACACTGATGACAGTGTCATTTTTATTGCTTCCTCTATTAGTCTTCACCGAAACACTCTCTACCAAGTATCTATTTGTTCACAATTACATGGCATTGGAAGGAATTTGAGGGAGTTTGTGTCATGGTTAGGAATTTGGCATAGAAACACAAAAACAAAAGGTAAAGATAAAAAGGAAGCTTTCTGGATAAAACAAAAAATAAATAAATAATGATTTTGAAGAAGAAGTAGCTGGTAGAATTTCTGATCAATTGCTGCTGGATAGTGAAAGGCCTACTAAGAATAGGTTCAGTATAGGGGAAATGATTCAAGCTGTATTTGTAAGATGATGAATTCTTAAGCTATGATCCAATAAATTTAGAATTGTCTGTGAGTTGGAAGGAAGGAAGAAATTATCACCCATTATGTCACCCATTATTTGCCAACATCCCAAGGAGGTAGCTGTAGTCAGCATCCTCATTTTATAGCTGAGGAAACTGAGAAAGAGGTTAAGTGACTTAGGTTTCTAAGACCAGATTTGAATACACGTCTTCCTAAATCCAAACACAGTGCTTTATCTGCTGTGCCACATAACTTCCCAGGTTGATATCAATCTGTTGCTTATTTACTCTAAGATGGCTATCACATAGCTATAGTCTTTTCTGGGAAGTCTGTGAAATGTAGGTGGTATATGATTGTGGCTACTCTAGAAATGCCCCATGATTCTCCTCCGTCGTCCCAGAGGCTGATAAAACAATGCAGAGGCTTAAAGTAGGAGGCAGAGAAGCCCCTTAACGACAAAAAAAGGGACAATTACAATAGAGAACTGCGAGAGTTCTATATTTTTCCTTGAAGACATTGGCCCAATGATTGTAGTGGAAATGACCAAGCCAGCATCATGCATCAGCAGGAAAAATATTAAAAATAAGATGAAATTATCCTATCCTTGTACAAAATCATGATGTATATGTGCATGGTGCATTGGAAAAATCCGTTGTGTTTTTACTTGCCATTCATTCAACTCACAGCAGAGATTTCTGTCTAAAGAATAAACAAAAAGAAAGCTAAAACTTTAAATGTCAAAGAGCTCTTTTTATCTTATGAGGAGTGACCAAAATTTTGACTTTGTTAGATGAATTGTGAAAGATGTGGAAAAATTAACATGTTATTTACGTGTCAATTCTAGATGTAGGAAACAACCTTTGAAACAAAGAAAGATAGAGCAAATAAAGGAAAAAAACGACAAAATATATTGTAACCTTGATTTCTTAGCTCAAGAGATATAGAACAAAAAATAGAAATTTGTACAAGAAGACTTAGAAAAATAGTAAGATGCTAGGTTCATAATGAATTGTAAATAGGAAACCAAAATGTTTTGAGATTGACGTGTAATTTAAATATACTTAATCACAAATATTTTTGTGATGCTACAGAAAATTAATTGGATAATAATGAGTTGAGTGGACCATGGGTATTATTTTGTGGCAATTTTTAGATTCTTAAGAAAAGGCTATTTCAGTGGAATAAGCTCTGGTAGTCTATCAGGTTTTATTTTGAGAATGATTCCACTGGATTGGCTACAGCATGGAGGGTGGAAAGTTTTTCAGCCACAGCAACTCTTGAAGATTTTTATCATGAGGAGTTATAAGCTGGGTGTTTGGAGACAACATTGCATTTCCTTACTGTATTGTCTCATTCCTTCTAGCGAACCAACGATGGCCAGCTTAACATTTCCCTACAGTGCTGCAACTAGTTATAATTTATCACCACTTGGTTTTTATTCAAGAGAAAGCTAAATAGAACTCCTGGGAATTCTGACCTCTAACCCTAGAATCTGTGACTATGTTAGGAATGTACTCTGAGAGTATAGGTTAGGATGATTCATATTAGACCATAAATTTTAGGTTACCCCAGGTATCTGCTTTTAAGCCAGGCTCTTTTCAAAATTCTTGTGGACATGTAAGTGGGTAGATTGTTCTAGCTCTTCCATTTTCTTAATGTGTTCTAAATCTTTCTGGGAGGGTGGTGAGGGCTTAGACCCTCATGATACTTTCCTCTCAAGTTTCCCATAGCCTACAAAACTTCTCTAGTCTAAAGAGTAGGCCTAATAATTCAATTGAAAGTTGAAAACCTCTCCACCTGGTACTTCCAGAAGGCAAACGAGAGTTGACAAAACATGAAATCACATCACAAGAAAATAAGTGTCTACATTTTAAAAATTAAAATTCAGAATATATTTTATAATGAATGAATTGAAATGTTTTATGAAAATGGGGCTATTTTATTCTTCATTTTATCTTTGCTCTTTAGAGATGGAAATGTTATTTCTCCATTTATACTTAGTTGTCCCGTATATTAGCCGAAGTTTTTATTTTTAAATTTAGCATTTTATGAGGCAGTCTTGTGTCTCTAATTGGCAATTTGACCTTGGGAAAAAGCTAACTGATATGGGACCCAGTTTCCTCATCTGTAAATCTGTATTTCTAATGTGCATATTTTACAAAAGGACTATGTATTACGGAGTCACATAAGTAGGACATATATGTCCATATAGTGAGGAAAATGGGTCTCTTGATACCAAAGGTATTGTTCTTTTAAATAGTAGATGCAGTTAGTAAATTATATGCTTAATTTTGATCAATTTATAATATGTTTGTGGATAATGTCTTATGCCTTTAGTTGAAATTCTGGCTCAGAGTAGTTGTTGTGAGGACTTTATAGCATTTCTTACACCCCTGCAATTTGTTTGGTTCAGTGATCTTCACTTTTATCAGGACTAGTGAGTAATAGAGTTCCATCTGCATGTATTGTTTAGTAATCACTAATGAGATACTTCCTTTTACATTGACATGATCTGATTTGAGCCAGATGCTTTGATTTCATTGCTGGCCAATACTGGCTTCAGTGAACACTGAATAATTCCTTCATGAACTTCTAGAACTATCTAGGTACTTGGGTGAAATCAGATTATGATGGTAAATGTTCAAAAATCCTTGTTGCATTTTCAAAGTTTTTTAAAAAAAAATATTTCCTCTTATATTCCAAAAACCACTGATTTTTATTGTGAGAATTTTCATTTTCCCTAAAGTATTTGACATTAAAAGGAATGTATAATGCTTTGCATTATTCCAGTTGTTAAAGTTGACTAAGTTCTTCATTATTTGGGATCATTTTAAATAACTGCCAGAATTTTCAATTCTGTCTTTCCTTAGCCCAATGTACATACTAATCTTTTTACTGTAGTACGAGGTGAAATGAGGGTCCCTGAGGAAGCCCTTAAGGTAAAAGTCTTGATTTTTCTTTTTCTTTTTTTTTAAAGTACATTTAGTTGATTTTACTCATAAATGTTTCTCTTCAATGTTTAAATGTTCCATAGCATGAGAAGTTTTCAAGTCAACTTCAGTTGTCCCAGAAATCTTCAGAAGCAGAATTATCAAAATCAGCAAGCTCCAAAAGTGTAGAATCAAAAATGCCAGATGCTGCTGCAGAGGTGCAGCATAAAGCTACAGAAACATTAAAGTCTGAAGAAAAATCCATGGGTAAGTTAACAGCTTGGGAAAGTATCATAGTCGTGCTCATAATTTCAAACCAGTTGTATTGCTTCTTTTGATAAATCATGCATCAGTCCTGAATATTGGTTGCATGTACTAGCATTATAAAGCTATAATTATTATATTTATATTTACATAATAAATAATATACTTTATTATTAGGTAATTTAATTAAATGATATAATTTATTATCATAAAACAATTACTATGTTTTATGGCATGGATTATTTTAGTATTTGGTTTTGCCCATGCAGATTTTAGTTCCTTAAACTTGTATTTGTGCCTTATGTTTTCAAAGTGCTTTTACATAAATTATTTTTATTGGCTTCATCCTTTGAGTTGGTCAGCATTATTTAAAAGGATTATGTAGCCTCAAACAGGTATGTATGTTAGTTCTAGTTCTTCCATTTACCCAACTTATTTCAACTCTTTTTAAGGGAGAGAGCTTGGACCTTCATGGTACTTCCCCCTCAGGTTTCCCCTTATCTGGAGAAACTTCCTGGTTCTAAAGAATTTCTCTTGTTATTAAATAAAGGCTGAAAACCTCTCCAGTTGGTACTTCCAGGAGACACACAAGTCAAAACATAATCTGACACCTGTTCAAGTTCTTGTACAGAAAAATACACAAGTACATGGTTATGAAGTATGTTGAAATAGCTAGGGATGTATTTTAAAGATATTTTCATGACCTCTCGCCCCAATGTGTTTTTCTTCTAAAATAACAATAATAGTGACTTCTTTATGAGGTTGTAATCAGAGAATCAAAGGCAATGTTAGTAGATTGGTGGACATCTCTAGATATTTTCAAAAGTGTATAAATTTTGACTTAGTTGTGCTCAAAATTTCATTTACCCTGTAGAGTTTAGATTTAGGTTCTTGGTATCGTTCAGTCGTTTCAGTCATGTCCAATTCTTTGTGACCCCATTTGGGGTCTTGGCAGAGATATTGGAATGGTTTGCCATTTTGTTCTCCAGCTCATTTTATGGATGAGAAAACTAAGGTAAACAAGGTTAAGTGACTTGCCCAGGGGTTACATAGTAGTAAGTGTCTGAGTCCAGATTTGAACTTGGGTCTCCCTGACTCCAGGCCCAGTGCTCTATTCACTACATCACCTACCTACTCTACTTACTTGGTACTTCAGCTTTAAAAAGTGGCAAGGAAGTTGGTTGCTTGTGCCAAAATTTTCCCATTTCTGTTTTTCATAAGTCATCATTCTTGGTGAAGCATTTCAGAGCATTGCTGTTCTCACTTTTACCAGGATGACCATTGCCTAGTTTCTCCTTATCAAGCCTTGACAGAGATTTTTACCTTTCTGATTTATTCCCTGTATGTACCTTCATCTATTTTTCATTCTCCCACCCCTGTTCTGTGTTTGTAGACTCTGAGGGGCAAGGATGGATTTCTTGTAAGGAATGAGGGTGTATATAGTCTTTTAATATTGCTTTGAGATGAATTGGCAGTTGACAGAATTTATAAGTGAGCAAGCTAGAAGTTAGGTATTTTGAAAAGCAGTTTTCCCTAGTTAAAAGTGCTTGATTGGGAGTTAAAAGACCTCTCAAATCCTACCTATGACATTTGTACAATCTGTGTGATGTTGGGCAAATCACATAATTTCCCAGGGCCTCTGTATCCTTAGCTTTAAAATAAGATTCACTTAGATAATTCCCAAGATTCTTTCCAGCTCTAAATACGTGAATCTAAAAAAACATTTGATAGAGAGAGATTATAGAAAAAAAAGAGCAAGGCAGCTTAGCTTAACAGATAGACATATCCTTTTTTAGAGTCAGGAAAACCTAGGTTTAATTCCTGTCTTTGATGTGTAATAATTGTGGGCTTAGCATTTTAGTACTCTAGGCAAGTTTTTAAGACTTTGCACAAAGAGTTGTTGATCTGCATTGATGGAAGGAATTTTCATGCCAGGAATCCTTTTATGGATGAAATTATAAAACTTGACAAAATAAAATAAACAAAAGAATTCTAGAATTAATTATAGAAAATTTCCTCCTAGCCTTGCCTTCCAATGTTACCTAGATCCTAGAATTGAAATATATGAAGGGTGTTAGCTAGAGACAATTGTACTTTGTTAAGCTAAATGATATAATCAATACCTTAAATGGTTTGCCTAAGTTCATTGATCACACAGGACCACATATTTAGAAATGGAAGGGATCTTAGAGATAATCTAGTTCATCCAGTTCCCTCAATTTGCACATGTGAAAATAGAGTGTTTTGTGAAATTTCCATTCCCAACTTTGTTGAGAGATATTCCTTTTAATACTTTTTATAGAAAGCTTATATCTTCTCATGTGAAGTGGAAACCATACCAAAATTATTTTTTCCTTTGTATTTTTTAAATTTCATTTTTATAGAAATCTTTCTAAAGGAAAGAACCTTTAATATATCTAGAATTTATCATTTTATTTGGTTGAGGATGTCTGCATTAATGGTATTATTCATATTTATTGATTCATATGACAAGCCATACTAAACCAGTTACAGTAACTGGTAAAAAGGAAATGTTGAAAAGGAAAATCTCTTTTAGTTAAAACTGAGGCTATTTGGAAGTTGTTTTATTGAAATAGTCAGTAAGCATTTATTAAATGTCTACTATGGGCCAGGATATGCTAAACCCTAGGATACAAAGAAAGGCAAAAAGCTGACAATCTAATGGGGGAGACAATATACAAACAACTATACACAATCTGTGTAGAAGATAAGTTGGAAATTATGAAGAAAAGGAATGTACTGGGTAACAAAGTATGAAGGGTGAGGGATTTAAGGTATAGAAAGACTAGAAATAAGGTATAGAAAAGACTGGGTAGTGGGGCATGTTATAAAAAACTTTAAATGCCAGAGGATTTTATGTTTAATCCTGGAGATGATTGGGAGCCACTGGAGTTTATTAAGTATGGGAGGTGACATGATCCCACCTACATTATCAGAAAATCATTTAGGTAGTGGGTAGAAGATGGGTTGGAGTACAGAGAGACCCATGTCAGGGAGATCAACCAGAAGTCTATTGCATTAGTCTGGGTGGTTAGAGGGGAGTTGCTTATTAAAACATTATCACCTTGATTCAGCTAAATTGGCAGGCTAAAGTCTTTTTGTTATAGCATCTCATCCATAAATAAGTCTCTTAAAAATGCTTGTAGGTTGTACTCAGATTAGCAGATGGTATTATTTAACTACATGCCAGTTTGAGAACAAAGATAACAGAATTTCCAAATATTTGACCATATTCATGTTAAATAAAATCTGTTCAAAATAGGAAGCTATTAAATTTTATAATACATTTTAACTACTAGATCATAACTTGATTCTGACTTCAATAAATAAAGCAACCAAGCACTTGTAGTGTTTTACAGTAGATTAGCTTTTGATTTTTTTTTTCTGTGTAGACAAAATAGTTCAATTTCTTTCCTTTGAAATATGTCTCTAGATCTTTCTGCTATGCCTCGTGGTACTCCTTTGTATGGGCAGCCATCTTGGTGGGGTGATGATGAAGCTGATGAAGAAAATGCTTTCAAACAAGATGGGAAACCTGAAGAAAAAATCAATGATACTGGAGCTTCAGGTAAAAGATGTCTGTTTGTGCCACGTCTTATGAATTAGGATATATCTTGTATGGTATTTAAAGTGTAGAAATGTAATAAAAAATGCTTCTGTAGTTCTATTTAAAATTCAAATTTCAGAGTGGTTTACTATAATTATCTTTTTTTGTTTTCTTATGATCTCATTTTAAGCTAGGGAATCAAAATTATTTTAAATGATCTATGCTCTGCAGCCATTTAAAAGTACAATTTTTAAAAAGGTGCATCGTACTGCAGTGCTGTAAAATTCAGGCATATCTGCAATTTGGATGTATTTTACAATCTGAACAGCCAGCTATTAAATAAGAATTTTAGAAACATGTAAAAGGTTTGCAGTGGTTAAAATATTGTATAATTGAGTCATATTTTAATCCTTTAAATATGACTGATTTTCATGTCACACTTACACTTAAAAATATTAGTTCATGATCCAGCCATTCTGGAGAACAATTTGGAATTGTGTCCAAAGGGCTATAAAACTGTGCATACCCTTTGATCCAGCAATACTGCTTGTAGGTCTATATCCCAAAGACATCCAGAAAAAGGGAAAAGGACCTATTTGTATAAAAATATTTATAGCAGCTCTTTTTATGGTAGCTAAGAATTGAAAATCACAGGGATGCCCCTCAATTGAGGAATGGCTAAACAAGCTGTGGTATAGGATTGTAATGGAATATTATTGTGTGTAATAAATGCTAAGTGGGATGATTTCAGAAAAACTTGAAAGATTTATGTGAACTGATGAATAGTGAAGCTAACAGAACCAGGAGAATGTTGTACACAGTAACAGCAATTTTGATCAATGAAGAACTGTGAAGAACCTAGGTATTCTAAGCAATACAGTGATCCAAGACAATCCCAAAGGACTAATGATGAAGCATACTATCTACCTCCAGAGAAAGAACTGATATTGTATGAATACAGACTGAAGCATGCTATTTTTCACTTTCTTTCATCTTTTTCTTTTATTTGAGTAGTCTTGTACAAATGACTAATATGGAAATGTTATACATAAAAAAGAGTATTAGTTCAATTTTCTTTGTAATGTTTCTTTGCTTAAAGAACTTTGTATTATTTTATTATTTTATTTTCAAACCTTTGTAGTGACACATGCATCTATTATCTTTGAGAAGTATTTAATATTAGTAATTTTCAATATAACTAAAGTTCTTTCCCATATAATGCCAAAATTTATTTTACTGTAACTACTTTAATGGAAATATTTCTAAAATGAATTATATACTTCCTGTTATCTTAAAGGGAGAATACTCAATTTTATTTTTTTCTTGATGATTCAGTCATAAAACCAGAAGACAAAAGAAAATTGCAGCTACATGGCTTTCCTTAGAGAAGCAAGAAAGGAGTTGGGGAAATTTATTGCCTCTTTCTCTAAAGAAATTGAGAAACACCATTTTGTGGGGGCATTGCTCATCTCAAGTCAAGTTAGCAAGCAATATTATGTGCCAGTCACGGTGCTAAATGGTGGACTACTGTGCTTATGATAAGCAGGCTTAGAAAGGCCACTGTGAACATAGTTGTTATTTATGCACTAACATCAGTTGTAGAAGGTGAAAGTATTAAGAAATCCTAAGAAGAATTTGGTAAAACTCTCCAAAATAATTAGCATATATTTTGATAATTCATCATCTGAATATAGGACAGCTAGGTGGCACAATGGATAGAGTGCTCACCCTGGAGTGGAAAGGACCTGAGTTCAAATCTGGCCTCGGGCATTTACTAGCTGTGTGACCCTGGGCAAGTCAGTTACCCTCTTTGCCTCAGTTCTTCATATGTAAAATAATCTGGAGAAGGAAATGGTGAATGATTCCAGTATCTTTGCCCAAGAAAGCTGCAAATGGGTTCACAGAGAGTCAGACAAGACTGAAATGACTCAACAAGAACAACATCTGAATATAAAAGTAGACATGGGGCTGAAGAGCAAAAATTATGTTGAAAAATAAGGTTCAGGAATAAAGATGCTAAAAGCTTGTAGACCTAAAACTCTTACCTACATATCATGAATACCTTCTTTGAGAAAAGAATCAGCATGTACTGGATATGCACAAAAACTGAGATTTATTATTCCCTAGTAGACTGAAACAACTCTACTAATGTGAAAATCTCTCCTAAATAATCTATCGTTACAGTAAAAACTACCGATTCATTTAAACCAAGCAACAAAATTAACACAAAATTTGTAAAATAAACATGAGAAAAACATATGGTATGCAATTACAATAACTGACCTATATAAACAAGGTATTTATTTCAAAAAAGGAAATGGAAGGAGGAAAGAACTTTGGTAGTTCTTGAGTACAAACTTATTTTAACCTATTATATTTAGCTAGCCCCCAGCCATACTTCACATCCAGTCTTCTTTCAGAAAATCTGGGCCAGGGGTGGGGAACCTGCAGACTCAAGGCCATATATGGCCCTCTAGGTCCTCAAGTGCAGCCCTTTGACTGAATCCAAACTTCACAGAACAAATTCCCTTAATAAAAGGATTTGTTCTGTAAAACCTGAACTCGGTCAAAAGGTTGCACCCAAGGACCTAGAAGACCACATGTAGCCTCAAATGGGTTCCCCAACCCTGATCTAGGCCCTCCTAGGCATCTTGCCATCTGCCATTTTGTGTGTACATCTTCTCTCAATACAACCTGACATCTTTTTCCAATCTTGCTCTGAATACAGTAATCAAGTCAGTACTAATCTTGCTACTGGAAAGGGTATGACAGTCAATTATACTATGGCTCCATTTACAGTGCTTTTGACTCTCCATTTTAAAACTCCCTTCCCTTTCCACCTCTATATGTGTTATTTCCCCCTTACTAAAATCCTTGATGTCATTTCTTACTTTTATGTTTGTTTCCTCAGCATCAGGCACAAATCCTGTCATATAGAGGTAATTAATGAATGCTTTTTCGTTCATTTATTTTAACTGTTTCCTGGAGAAATTTAACAGATATAATTCAGTAGCAGTAATGAGAACAAAAGTGCCTAGTCAACAAACAGTTCATCTTTTTGTCAGACAAAGAGATAGCGGTCAAGGACAGCAGTGTAGATTATAAACTTGTTTGTAAAATCTTACAATACAAGATGATGGAAGAGTAGAAGGAAAACAGTTTTAAAGAAAGTTTAATAAGAAATTACGCTAAACAGTGTCATCACATAGACATCTAAGGATGAAACTGGAAGGACAATGAAAAATGGAAAAGATTTGTAAAGAGTTTTTTAAACTCTTTTCACCACTGAGGATACTGGAGTCTCCAAATTTTTATATTCTATAATCACAGTCCCAGATGAGCTGCTGGAAGAGGAGGTGGATATTGGACTGAGGGGAAAAAAGATACAAAAGCCACTGAACAAGACCAGAGGTACATACTAGAGGTGATACAATTTTTAGTTCATTGAAGTATTAATTCTCTAGTTAACTACCTCTCTTACATAGCCTTGAAAGGTAGTGAAACATTTTAGACCATATTACAAAAAAAGATGACCTAGAGAATATCAGTAGTTATCTGCCTATATGCCCATTTTCTCGATCTCCACAAAAAGAATATGCAAATAATCTTCAAATTGTCAAAGGCATCTTTGTTGAATATGTAATAAGGGAATAGCATCTAGGAGTTGAAAGCATTATTCCACAATAAATCACATTTTTACAATTGTATCGTAGACTGTAAGGTACAGAAAATACAAGAACCCACTTATTGTTCATTGACTGTGAAAACCTTTTGCCTTGCTCAAGAAAACAATACTTTAAAGACTTCTTTCCAACAAGGAGTTACCCACACATATGTCAGAATTATTAAAAAAAAAATCCTCAAGAGATAGAACAACAGAGAAAACTTTGTGGTAGTCACTGGTTATTAATATCAAGGCTTAAGAGAGAGATAAATGTTCACCAAAGGGGTTCACTGCTAGCATATTGGAGATTAGTCAAGTACTAAAAAAGGGATTTCCATATACTGGTGCCGAGGCCCTTCAGATGCTCTTTTCTGTAGATGACATTGTGCTATTTGCTTCAGGCCTCAGAATATGGCAGAATTCCCAAGATCCATAATCACTCCAAAAACTTTTGGATTGTCTACCAGAAAAAGTAGGTAAAAATGTCAGTTGTCTAGGTTGGTGTACAGTGAAGAAAAACTATGGAGATAACTATGCATATTTTGGATAGACGACAAATGCAGAGTGAACTGAGACCTGAAATACAGAATGAAGAATTGTTTGGAGTGCTTTTGTGAGATTGCTCTTTTCTGTTATTGAATCTAAGCTTCTTCCTGAAACAAAAGTCCATATTTTTAAATTCAGCGCTCTTTTCATTATACTACATTATCTTCTAGGACACAGGTATTCTGGAATATAGTAGCATCTGTTACATTCGCTGATATTTATGTAGTATTTCAAAGTTTTCAGAGGGAATCAGAAGGGAGCAACTAGGAACTGAAAACAATATTTCATGGTGGATCACATTTTTACAATTATACATTAGACCTTAAAGGTACAGAAAATACAAGAACCTTCCAACATTCATTCTTTTAATGCTCATAGCACTGTGAGATAAGTGCTATCGGTATTATTATCTTCATTTAACAGTGGAGGAAACTGAGGCTCAGATTAAGTGACTTTCTCATGGTCATATAAACTAAAAAGTTTAAAAACCAGGAATCAAATCCAATCTTCCTGACTCCAGGTTCTGCACCCTGTCTACCATTTCACACTGCCTCTCAGCAAATGATTTCAGTTATATAGCAGTTTGAGGTTTTCAAAGCATTTTACATAAATGGCAAAGGGACTAGATTTGAAAGTCTCAATACCTGGTTTCTAGCTCCAGCCCAATCACTTAATTATTTAAGACTTTGGTTGACTCATTTAACTTCTCTAAACTTTAACTTCTTCATCTGTAAAATGAGAACAATAATCTTTGTACTGCCTAGTTCACAGAGTTGTTTTCAGAATCAAATAAGAATATATTTTAAATATTTTATAACTATAGAGAGATTTAGAGATAGATGAGTATAGAGATAGGGCTTGGACCTGTTATTTCATTAGTATAGGGAATTCCCAGATGAGGAAACTCCCTCTAACAATGTAGGTCAGTACCTTCTCTGCAACTTACAGTCTTAGAGAATTTGAATTATTGTTATCATTATTATCTACAATACCCAGTGCGGTGCTTTTGTATCATATGCTTAAACTTTGTAACATCTGTTTTAGCTATTTTCTGTGTTTTGGGAAACTCCTAGATAAGTGGCTTTTAAATAAATGATATTATATATTAAACTGGTGTTCATGGTCCTTTGAAGAAAGGTGATAGTGAGAGGGATTAGTTTGAGGTTAGACAACCTTCGAAAAGTTTGTTAAAGAGAGCTAAAGCACTTACTGGTATCTTCTAACCATCCCTCTCAGAAACAAGAAGACCTGAAGAGAAGCCAGCACCCTGATTTTTACAAGTCAGTGTTTGACTTCATGAAGCAGGCCGTGGTCGGTCAATAAGCGATTATTAAGTGCTTACTGTGTGCCAGACACTATACTAAGTGCTGGACATACAAAGAAGGGCAAAAAATAATCCTTGCCTTCAAGGAGCATACATAGTAATGATAGTGGTGATTGCACTGTATAGAAACCCTTAAATGTTTGTTGGCTAAGTGAATGAATAAATGCGTGAATATTGAAGATTGGCCTATATCTCAAATCTGATGAGTCTAGGTTTTCGACACCAGAGCTAATTCATTTATGCTGATGCCTGTCACTTAGTGCAGTGAACCTTAGCAAGGAGAGGGAGAGACTGATTCTTTTACCGTTTGGGTGAGCTAGACATTGTTGAGCATTGTGGAAGAGCCAATCTCTATCCTCCTTTCTCAAGTTTTACTCCCCTGACCTTTCCAGCTCCAGAACAAATTTATAGTCCTATAAATGGTAATGGCAAAATTATTTTCGTACTGAAAATTTGTTTTTCATATGTTTTCAGAGGAAAAATGTAATGTAAATATAATATTAGTTCTAAAACCATGCTTATACCATTATAAATTGTGGTTCATTAGTAGTTGAGTCAAATCCCATTTGATTCTAGTTTAGTATTAAGTACAATTTATTTTATGTAATTCTTTATATACTGGTATTTTGTGTATGGTTGTGTGTATGTGTGGGGGGGTGTATAATAAATTTCTAATAAGAATATTTAGATTACTTAGGATAGGTATACCCTGACTAAAGATATAAGGGGGTTTGACCTTGGAGCCAGTTACTGCAATAATCATAGATAGGTAAATACATAGGCAAATATCTGGTCCAAATTCTGGCTGAGGGAAAAAAGTTTTTAAAGGAATTACAACTTAAGGCAAATTCCATATTCCCCCAACTCTTTTGTAGCAAGCTAAGAGAGACAAGACAAATGCAAGTGAATCAGGGTGGTTTATGGTTTTTGGACAAACTGTATTGAAGTTAGAATATTAGTAATTCAGTCAGCAAAGAGTTTTTGAGCATGTACTATGTTCCAGCCACTGTGGATACAAAGAAAAGGGGGAAAAACCCCTGTCTTCATGGGACATATATTCTAAAGAATATGTCCTATTTTCAAATCAATAGACTATATTAATTTAACTTAGCTAAGAGTATAACACATGTAAGAAATTCCATAAATATTTATTAAATATATAAATAAATTAGTGAAATTTGCCTTTGAGAGTAGAATTTAATAAGCCTGGTGGTATCTGGTCTGTATCTTCATTTCTTTGGTCTGTATCTTCATTCATATAAAAATTCTTTCCATGTTATAGAAACTCCCTCTACAGATGCATTTCAGCAATTCATTTGTATATTATGGTATTAACTAGTTGTCTAGAATACTAAAAGGTTAAATGACATGCCTGTGGTCTATAATATGTGTCAAAAGCAAGACTATGCCATGCTGCCTCTGTTTTTTGGCTTTTATCCTTAGTGAAAAATGTAATTGCCGGTGAAATGTTTGTTCAGTATTTCAGATAGTCAATTTTTTTACCATTTGTTTAAAAAAATTCTAATTTTTAAAAACCACTATACCCAGCAAATGTCCCCTGACTTAGAATCTGATGTTCTAGATCTAGAACCTCAGCTGGTAAATTATAATTAGTGTTTTTACATTGAGGATACTAGACAATTTTAAATTGGTCATATATCTTCTTCGCAATAATATGGAAATTTGCTTTTTCCTATCTTAGAACTTTTAAACATTCTTTCATTATCAGTTACTCGAACAAGTAAGTAAGCTTATTTTTAATGGCTGTTAGATTTTTTTTTTTACTTTCCATTTGGAATGTTTTTTTTTTAATCTGGCAAATCTTCTTTCTTGGAAATAAACCTTGATTTCTTCTGTAATCTTTAAAATTGTTCACATCAAAAGCTCTAATTTATTGCTTAGATATTTATCTTTTGAATGTTTTTTCTGAAGAAATAAATGTAAACACTTACCATCGTCAAGAATAGAATGCTTCAAAAGCTAACTCAGAAGAAAAAAGTTTTCTTATTTTATATTGAACAGTAGAATTGAATGGAATCATAGATTTTGAACTGGAAGTGACCTGAGAGGTCATCCAGTCTAACACTTTCTTTTTTTAAAGACGAGGAAACCTGGAGAGGTTATATAACTTATCCAAGGTCACAGAGGTTGTAAGTGGCAGAGCCAGAATTGGAACCCAGTGTTCTGATTGTAAATCTAGCTTCTTTCCACTATACCACATAGCTCCCCTGGGTGAAAAATGACTGAAAACATTTAGTCTTCATTCATTGCCTTTTCTTTCCAAGTTCTTCTGCTTCCTTCTGGGAAGGGGAAGGGAGAAGGGAGAAGAAGGGGAGAATAAGAAGATACATATTGTTGAATAAAGAAACACTTAATTTTGTTCTGAATTTTGCATGCTTGCCTTTAAAAGGAGGTATTAAAATTAAATTAAATTTTAGAGTACAAAATACAGTCTTTCATATTCTCTACAAATCTGAACCATTTTAGTTTCCATAGCAATAGTGAAGTGGTATTAACAAGTTTATTCATTCTTTATATTACTGCCTGTTAGTAGAGCTAATTTTAAAATTCAGCTTTACTCTGAAATGGTTGATATCCATGCATACATATTCTGCTTTATGGAAATATGACTTAATTTTCTTGTGGAGAAATCATTGGGCAGAATTTTCTATTTTTACTATACTTCTTTCACACCAGTGCTTTGATTTTTGAGCTACAGGCAAATGAGTACACATATTATACTTGATTAAATGTCTTAAAGTGTTGGGTTTTTTTGATCAGTCTTCTTGAAAATACTAAACTCATGCCTCAGTAATTAAGTTTCATATGTCATTACCAAAGTAATGATAAGGAAGAATAGCAAGTGCCATAATTACTTTTAAAACATCTTTTATATATCTTTTGTTCTTTGAAATTCCACTGGATTTTGTATTTACTTGTGCATATAAATATTTCACAAAGATCTCTTCTACTCTTAGAAAATCCATTCTTTTTTATACTATGCCAAAAGCGAAATTACTAAGCAACATTTTCCAACTGGAATGAAAACTCCAATTCTATTCCATTGTAATTTGATGAATTCTAGTTCAGAGTTGAAAAAAGCGTAAGATTAACAGTGAAATGCCCATTCTTTGCCTGTTTTTCTTACTTTCATTATCTTATGCTTCTTACTTAAATTTGGATATACTCTTTACCTAAAACTGGATATAGTGTAGGTTTTGATAAATTTGTAAGTAAACATTCACCCAGTTTGGTATGCTTACAGACAAGTTGCATCTTTCTTCAATATTGTTCCCTCTCCAGTATGAATAACACTTCCTGAGTTCATATGCTTAGACCTTCTATTCAGTTTCCTTGTCTTTTGAGTTTAGGGGTAAGTGTTCTTTACCAGGATTCCCTGTAAATTCTCCTGAAATTCCCCAGTATTTTGAATTTTCTTTTATTTTTCTTATTAGGGTGCAGCATAAATGTCAAGCAAGTTGAGGAGCAGTCTGCAACTGCAAATGAAGAAATGCTTTATCCTTTCTGTAGGGAACCAAGTTATTTTGAAATCCCTACAAAAGAATTCCAGCAACCATCACAAATAACAGAGAGCACTATTCATGAAATTCCAACAAAAGACATACAAAGCTGCCATGCAGCAGGTGCAGGGCATGCTTCATTTACCATTGAATTTGATGATAATGCTCCAGGCAAAGTAACTATTAGAGACCATGTAACCAAATTTACTCCTGATCAGCGTCATAAGTCGAAGAAGTCCTCTCCTTCAGGAGCACAAGACCTTCCTGGGATTCAGACTGGAATGATGGCACCAGAAAATAAAGTTGCTGACTGGCTGGCGCAGAACAACCCTCCTCGAATGATTTGGGAAGGGACAGAGGAGGACTCCAAAAGTATTAAAAGTGATGTTCCAGTTTACTTGAAACGGTTGAAAGGTAAAGTTAATTGATCATTTCAGTTCTTATTTTGTGATAAAGAAAATTAAATGATCTTGCAGTAAGCATGCTGTGTATTGTTGTGTGACTTATTATATGGTACATTAAGATGTTCATTTAATTTTATTTAGCATATGAAAAGCAAGCAACAGTCATCATCCAGCTTTATACTGTTAATAATGTGCCTTCATTTACTTTTTTCCTTACTTTCCTTTCTGTTTTCCTCATTATTATTATTATTATTATTATTTTGGAGGGTAGGAAAAGTGGGGGAGATCTGGTCCTATAACTTCATTGGTATATCCTGGGAAGCAAACTCTTTTCACTAAGTCAGATCAGTGCCTGTTCTACAATTTAGAGTGTTAGGACGTTGCTGGAGGGAAATGAGAAGTTAATTTACATGTCCAGGGTTAAACATCATTAAGAGCCAGAAATGGGACTTGAACCCAGATCTTAAGATTCTGAGAGCACTTTCTCCACTATTCCATGCTGCCCATTTTCTTATGAAAGCCAAATTAGTGGTATTAGTTGACTTTTATGTCATTAAATATACTTGTTTATCTCTCATCAGAAGCAAAATATTTTAGCACATATTACAGAAACAAAATTATACATAATATTAAGTTGAAATGATGGAAATGGTTTAAGCAGAATTAAGTGGTACTGTGATACTTTTATTTAAATGCCTATGTCTAGACTTTGAATGAGATTTTAAATCATTTGGATACAGAACAAGAATTTTCACATTTATAAAAATGACAGTACTATTTAATGTTATTTTCAAATGGATATTGTTAGAGATCAGTTATATATGGAAATATAAATACTGTATATTACCTATTTTTAACATTAAATTCTTGAGCAAAGAGTCATATATTAGAATGTTTGTGAGATGCTCCTCATGTTTTATAAGTGTAATAATTAGTCAAAGGTAGGTATATTTTTACATCAGAAATACGGCATAAATCAGCCATGTTATCTAATTGATTATTTCTTAGTTTTGCTACTTTAACTTTTACAAAGTAAGAACTATTTAGGATTAACTACAGATTTTTACTACTCTGATTTTTATTTTTAAAATCATCTTCAAGTATCTTGAATATTATTGGAAAATAATGTTAATCTTATAATACATTGTATTTATCCTACTATATTTCAGTGTTCATAATGAACTATAATTTGACTTTCACTATCAGGTAAGATTAAACAGGACTGTAAATATTGTCAGTTGGAGTTCTGCCAATTTGATGGAAGAATGGGAGCCTGTCATATCTTTTTTTTTTTTTTGCATAAGACTGGCTCACTTCAAAGTCAAGTCAGCAAACATTTATTAAGCATCTTCTATTTGCAAGGTGCTATGCTCAGCACTGAGGATACAAAGAAGGGCAAAATTGGATTCAGATATTTATCAAGTACCTACTTAAGTGTGGAGCACCACGCTAGGTGCTAAAAGAGATACAACATTTAGAGAATTGGTTACTGACCTCACCTAGTAACCAGGACATGATACATAAACAAACAACTAATTTAGTACTTGATAAGTGCATAAAAGAAGAACAAAGAATATGTTATATGAGGTCAGAGTAGGAAAAAGATCATAAGTATATGGAGTGCTTCATGACTTTGTCATTCAGATCTGTGTATTATTATAAGATGATTTAATTCCCTTTTAATTTATCTTGCTCAGTCTTCAGTGGCATGACCATTGACATGACATTCGTATTTTTGAGGCATAATTAAAATACAGAAACACTGAAATAAAGTTCATAATCATGACTTTGATCCATCAAGAAAGGGCTAATTATGTTTAGCATCTAGTTTTTGCTGTGGCATCATAGTATGGTTATATTTTATACGTGGACATGCTTTTTCAAGCATAACCAAATACAAGCAATGATATCAGTTATAAAGTTTCATATTCTTCCTTGTATGGTTGTGCTGGTAGATTTTGTTTGATTTCTGTTTTCCATTCTAGAGTTTTGGTTCTTAAGTGTTTACCACATGCCAGGATGTGCTAGATGCTGGGAATACAAAGACAAAAAATGAAACAAACTCTCCCCAAAGGGAGTTAACATTGTATCAAGAAAGACAATATATAAGTATATACATAATAATAGAAAGTAGTCAGGGAAGGGGTAAGTACTAGCAGGCAAAGGTCTCTGAAGAGGCTTCATGCATAAGATAATTCTTGAGCTGAGTCTTGAAGGAAGTTAGAGATCCCATGAGATGGGAAATATCTAGGACTTACCCCTGAGGAAAGCCAAAGCAAAGGCATGGAGATGATGGAGTGTGATGGGAGGGGAACTGAGAGAGGAGGCCAGTGAGAGTGCAGGAGGGGAATGATGAATAATGAGGCTAGAAAGATCAGAAGGGTGTGAAGGGTTTTAAAAGTTAAAACAGAGGAAATTATTTTATCCAGGAGGCAATAGGCATCCTTGCCAGAGCTCATTGAGTGGAGTAATACCTTGGTTAGAATTCTAGCTTTGATGTTTGACACTCTGGACTTTGAATTCAGAGTTTATATCAGTGGGACCTTGGTTTTGAGAGATTTGGTACAGCAGAAAGAACATTGGCTCTGGAGTCACAGAACCTGGATTAAAAGCCTACTTCTGAAACTTTTTCTCTTTGTAACCTTGGACAGGTCACTTACCTGCTCAGTTCTCCTCCCCTGCCCCCCCCTCTTCGTTTTCTACAACTGTAAGGTGAGAGGTTGTACAACCTTTGTGGACCCAGAGTTAGGAACTCAGTGACTAGAAGAGTGGTGGAGCATTCAACAGAAATAGAAAAGTTTGGTAGAATATAGGGTTTAGGAGGAAAGATACTTAGTTTTGTTTTGGACCTATTAGTTTTTAGCTGTCCCTGGAACATAAAGTTTGAAATGTCCATTTGGCAGATGGTCATGTGGGAAGAGAGCTTAGGAAAGAGACTGACTCTCAGTTTATAGATCTGGATATCGTCTACATACAAATGACAATTACATATTTGGAAGCTAATGAGAACACCAAGAGAAGGGAGTGTAGAGTGAGAAGAGAAGGGGATCTAGGACAGAGCTTTAGGGTATACTCTTAGGTAGGAGGTATGGTGTTGATAGAGATCCAACCAGAGACTTGATATGGAGCAGTCACATAGGAGGAAAACCTTGAGAGAGTATCCAGAGGGAGAGGATATTAACTTAACAGTATCATTAATCATCTGAAGTATTTTTACTTTTTGGTTTCACATTACTTTTTGAGTAGTCACTCTATTGAAGATTTCATGTTTGCTTCATAGTCATCACCCCTCCTTTGGAGAGGTGACTTTTAGAAACATTGGAAAGACTTTTACATATCATTATTTCCCTCTTTTATTCTGCTGCCATTGATTTTCTTTGCCTTTCCATCTGTGATTTCTTATTGCTATTTCTCTTTCTTTCTTTACCCTTTCTTTTCCTGAGTTGTTTTACTCCTCCTATGTACCATCTCTTTCACCTCTTTTTATAGCTGCTAAGTGTTGTCAGTAGCCAGTTTTTCAGAGATCTGAGGAATTGAGGCTAACTCCTTAAAATCCAGTCCTCTACAGAGAATTCTGTTCTCTGTGGGCCTTCCAGATTTGCTTCTGAGGTTTTCATCATTAAAAATGTTATATCATACCTAAATTAGTCAGCCTAGGGTGTTTGTAGTACTAAGGTATTTGGGGAACAATTTCAGTTCTGGAAATTATGGACTAGATTCACAATTTTCACCAAAAGAGACTGTTGCCAGAGTGGAGAACCTGCAGCCTCAAGGCCACGTGTGACCTTCTAGGTCCTTGGGTACAGCCTTTTAACCAAGTCTGAGTTTTACAGAACACATCCTTTTATTAAGGTATCTGTGCTGTGAAGTTTGGATTCAGTCAAAAGGCCACACTTGAAGACCTAGAGGGCCACATGCGGCCTCAAGGCTGCAGGTTCCTCACCTCTGATTTAAGCTGTGATTTGCTGCAAAGTTCTACATGTATCCAAAATATCTTTTAACTTCACTATAATTTCACACTTAAGCATGGTAGTATTAGATTGTTATTTTTATTCTTTTTGGCATGTAATTCAGATTTAGCTTATGGGCATGCTGAATCAGTGAAAGGTCAAATAACATGCATAAAGTTTCACATCACATCAGTAACAAAATAGGGAAGTATGAGTTAGTTGATAGTGACTATTATTAACCATGATGTTTTAGACCGCTGTTAAAATATCTACTTGATGTTCCAAGAAATCAGATACATTCTGACGACACTCTACAAAGTGGACAGAGACAGATCCTGGAATTGATTTTTCCTAGTGCAGTGCCGTGTGCCCAGAGTGTTCTCAGGCACATGTTTATATAGCATAGGAAAAGATGTAGTTCGTAATCTCCTTCCTTGTAGGAAGTTAGACCTTTTACCAAAAGGATATTCCTAGAATAACAGAGCATAGAGAGTTGAAAGGACTTAGTGAAGGCTTACAAAAAGTTTTTAAAAATCAGGGATGTGCTTAGACACTTGAAATATGCATTCAGTAAATGTCAGTTGATAGTAGTGCTATGTATAACTCTCAATCTTATATAATTGTTTTTATTTTCAGTTGAGAAATCAACTCAGATTCAGAATTATTATGTGATACATATAAATGTTATAGTGGTTTCTCTTTATATGAGAAAATAAGGATGTAAATGAATGTGAAAACCAGTTAAACATATTTCATAGAATTACAGGATCTCAGGAGTCAAAACAGACTTGAGTCCACAGCTGCACAAGAAATCCCCAGTGCAGTGTAATTGACAGGTGGGCAGCCAATCTTTGCCTGAAGAATTTTACTGAGGAGAAATCCACCACCTCTTAAAGCAACCCATTCTCATTTTGAACATGTTTAGCTATCAGGAAGTTTTTCTTTACATCAAGCCTGACTTTAACTCCATATTATTTATAACCATTGCTTCTAGTTCTCCTGTCTGGGGCCCAGTCTAGTGTTTCTTCCACATAATAACCCTGCAAATGGTGGAAAGGGC